AGACGATGGCATATTATGGTGACTTAATCCACAATTCCACTACAGAAATGTGATATGATAAAAGCCTAGGTTTCTTTGAAAATCACTTCTTTCCTGTGACCAAAGAGCAGTCGTGGCAGTGTGCCATATTGGCCAGCATGGTAGGAATATACGCGACACTATTTCTGTTCGAGTCCCGTCGGGAGTGCTGATGAGACTTGATCTAGGGCAAAACTGCAGTCAAGTCCAGCCTTGAGAAGAATACATTTCAGTAATGTGAAATTAAATGAAAACCAGCGGCCTACTCATATAATGTTGTTGGAACATTCTGATATAAGCTCTGCATCACTTTATGCGAAATGGGGCGGTTGAAACTCTTTAACAAGGCTTGCTGATAGCTTCGAACCCGATTTTTGGTGCATTTCAGTGGCACAGTCTATTCTAACTGCAAAATCCAAGTGCTGTGTTTATAAGTAGGTTTCTAGGTTACTAGAAGATCATGTATGTGGGATGTACCCACCATAGTTTGAGGTGACGCAGGAAAATCAGCCAACGTTCCTTCATCGCCTAATGCGACAGGGTGATTAGAAACCGTTATCCACTATTCGTATTGTCAATTAAATGTGTCGAACCTTAAGTGATTCAAGTCCCTTTTGGCGCGTTATAGCTCGTCACCTGTCCTGACAATGTTGTTGAAGATAGAAGACTGTGAAGTGGGCTGCTGAAGTTGCATGTAGAGCATATGTACAAAACTAGTTGGCTATGATCGAGACAAAATCTGTATGTCTGATCGTGATGATGGGGAATGAGCTAGAGGATAGTGGGATAAATAGTTGGAAATGGACAGCCAAACCAACAGGCTGGAGTGGTGTGTTCAATGTGAGATGAGGTTGTGTTGAATGGGATGCCGCCGAGACTGAATGTGGATAGGCGGTGTTGATTTGCGGTCTGTCCTACGATAGAGTCATATTGCCTTAGTGGAGTACTGGTTGTTCTGTAGATGCGGACACAATGACACATTTATTAGAACACTTTGGGACAGAGATGCTGATAAAGTGTGATCCTCTTTGTGTAGAGGTTCAACCGATTTGTTTCAACTCAGATGCACAATCGAAGGTATGAAGACCAAGATGGTGTGGCCTTTTGTGTGGTCGCAGTCTCCTTTCGTTGTATACAAGTTGCTTGACCTTGTTTTGGCAACTTGGTCACATTGGTAGGAAGACTTATTGGAACGCACCTAGTCCGGGGTCCATTGTATGCATCATCATTTCCAGAGTAGGACTGTGGACGTAGTACATTCCCAGAAGTCTCGCCGTCATCATCAGTGACTCTCGCCATTCTTAGCACCATTCAACAACTCGTCAAAGTTACAAGTGAACCCGACGTTTGGGAATGTACCACGTCCACGGTTCAACTTTATAAATGATCATGTAGACAATGAACCCCGGACTAGGTGCGTTCCAGTAAGTCTTCCTATCAGATGTACAAGTTGGAAGGAGCAGCGGAGGGTTGTGTGGTAAGGTGGGTGTGACATTCAGCAGTGATTGGTTCATTTGATGATACGACGTTGTCACGGTGACGGACTGTAGGTTGTAGGTGGGACAAACATCGAGCCTTCACAGGCGATTCTATGAGACAGATTGTTTGTAGAGAAGTCGACGGCGAGAGATGGTTGTCGCCAAAAGCACAGGGCCTGAAGAATCCACAGAGTCACGAGGTCTGCTTAAGCCCTTGCGTGGTTTGAATGCAAGTTTTGATTGGTGTGAAGGGTCCCGCTCTCTTAGGTCCAAGGTTAGGCTCGGTATATTGTCGAGGTTTGATAGGTGGACACACAAAAGAGGTGTGAATGGGAGATACTCGCTATTGGTCTTTGTGTCAAGTAGATGTTAAGGAATGGCTACGAAATGTAATATTGCGTTGTAGTGGGAAGGAGTGTGGATTAGTCACGACTACTTATTATCCTTTCTGCAAAGTTAATTTCATGTGTCAGGGTTTCGATTTACAAATGTTTATAATCCCGCACGATTCACATTTGTGCTAATTAGTGGGTTTTATGTGACATCAAGGTTAGTAGTTGGTAGAATAGAATGCATTAGAATGCTAAGCTATTCCACATAAATTTACCATTTCCGTAAAGAATAGAGACTAGATCAAAATGCTAAAATAGCCACGTAGGTTCTAGAGCATCGATCTTGAATTTTTTCGCTACCCCTTCTTAGTTAATTTTCCAAGTTTTCTTTTTCTGGTTCACGCAGGTGATTATGGTAACATAATCCAATTGGCCAAGCCTAAAATGAGAGCATAAATTTTATATATGAAATTAAATTTACGACATTATTCGATGGCCGGAGTCACTATATGGAAGTTTCTCACATCTTCCGATCATCCTTAGGCTACATATAATTACTGCATTTCTTAATAGGTTCGAGTACCACGTCACTTTCTTCAGCTCGGCGCGCCTGGTCGTCTGGCGCCTTCATCGGTGGACTTAATCCGAATTCTCCAGCCTCCGACTCATGCCAGCCCTCCTGGACCAGCGGTTCTCCGGACACTGGTGACACTGGAGCCTCGAACTCCGCCACGCCGGCTGTGGCACCTCTTCCAGCTGAATCTTCTTCTGCAAACCCAAGTCAAACTGCATCCATAGCACAGGCCGGTCAGCTATGCTTGTTGATTAATTACGCTGGTCACTTGTTTATGCTGCAACCGGCAAGCCGGCAACATGGCGAAGTTTGCACCAAGCAGCTGTTGACCAGAGGACTGTCGGTAACGCATACGGTTGAAGACGACACATCTTCGGGACAACTATTTGAGGTGAGCCTTTTAGCCGCTAATCTTTTTTTCATTTATGCATTAGATTAACCCTATTTAATCTAGACATTGTTTGAACTTGTTTTCGCAACTTGGTTATGTACCACGTCCACGGTCCGACTCTGGAACTTATCATGACTCTGGACTAAATGGATTCCTCTAAGTCTTCCTACCAATATGACCAAGTTGAGAAAACAAGGTAAAAAACCTTCTATGCAGCGAAAGGAGACTGCAACCATACACAAGGCCACACCATCTTGGTCTTCATACCTTCCAATTTGATCTACTTTACCGTTCTACTCTGCGTTACGTTTCAATTAGTCATCACACGCTTACTTATTTAACTCAACTTATCCATTGTGATTATCCAATGATTTTTAATGGAGCCCACGATTATTTATGTCATCACACGGATTAAGTTTTAAATGTGTTTCTACTCCAGGCACATTATTTTATCTTGTCATTGCATCGTGGTTGGAGGCAGCTTTGAAAAGGTGAAATGAATATATTTTTTTAATCCGAATTAAGTATTGTCTTCGTGACTACCAGTT